TGAGACATTTAACGGACTCATGTCGTGCCTCGGAATATTCTCACGGGCTGTCGATTTTCCATTTTTCCTCATGATATTCTAATTATTGATGTGCAGATAAAATTTATCATTTTAATTACTCATAATTTTATTTTTAGAAAAGGTGAGAAATTAGTTAATGAAAATTTCAATGTCGAATTTATCGTTATCTCACTTATTGACTACACGGGTAAAAAAAAAATTGTAATCGGAATACTTTTTTTAATTTTCCAAAAATTTCTGGAAAACTTTTCAGAAAATTTTTCTAGAAATTTTTGCGAGTATATTTTTTTTAAATTATACTGTTGTTTTCTCCCTTTTTTGATTTTTCAATATTCTCAAAAAAAAAAAAACGGCATCTAAATTATAAAAAAAAATTTTCAAAACCTTTCCGAAAAATAAAATTGTTTCCCAATTTTTTTTTCATACAAAAAAAAATTTTCTGAAAAATTTTCCAAAAATTTTTTGAAAATTTGAAAAAAAATTCCGATTACAATTTTTTTTTATCCGGGTAGAACAAACAAAAATTTTCAGCTCCATTTGACTCCCAGTGTATCCTTACAGTGATGACTTCCGTATCCCAAGCAAATCATTGACGTTTATTCAATTCTCAGAAGTGCAGGGCGTGTCGTAAACATTGAGTCATTCATTTTCCCTGTTGCATGTGCATTCTCCACAATTGAGATTTGAGTCATAACCGGAATCGATAGAATCTCTGGGTAGGGTAATGGTGGAGATTGAAGGGTTCCGGCCCTTTGGATTTTATCCCCTGGGGCCTGGTCTCCATTGAATGAGAGGAAAGGAGTGAGTGGATATCGGGGACGAGAACCGGAGACGGAAATTCTCATGCCTGACCCAGGTCACATCACACTGGCGACTCATAAAAATTCCACATCAATACTTATTACACTCAAATGATTTTTATTAGTTAAGGAAAATGTGAGGACATTATTCATAACTATTGAATCGTGAGACTAACCGCAATTGAATAACCGAATATTAACAAGTAGTTCAATCAATCATGAAATTCTTTCACGATGATTTTTTTTCAACCGAACTTTAACCCAATAGCTGAGATTATTCTCAGACTCTCGGAGATTCCATCCGCCTCTCGATTTTATCGTCCGTAAATCCAAGAATACCTCAAGACCCTTTACTTCCGGTGGGTATCGGAGGCCTCAAGAGGAAGTTGGCTCGAGTTATAAAAGGGCTCGGTGTAAGCCGTTTCATGACGTTATGACACGACAGTCAACGTCGGCGAGTCTGAAGACTGCCCTTTGTGCATCAGATACTCAAGCATATTCTATCCATCAGTAGTGGATTGGAGTACCGAGAGGTGACTTTCCACCAATCGATTTCGAATAGACATATCCCGGTG